GGGTTTAGGGTTTAGGGGTTGAGTAAACCCAAAACCGATTTTCCACAAGAACCCTGACCCGAATGCCTTCAGCGCGCTGAAGAGGGGCGACACCTGCCCCAGACCTCCGACAGCGACAACAAAGGCATCTTAAGGATTAGAATGTAGGAGCCTTAAGAACAAGGTTTAGGGTTTAGGGTAGGGNNGGGGGGGGGGGGGTCCTTGATATACATATAATATAAAATGCCCCAAGCCACATTCCATTTAGTAAGGAGCTTATATTGATCTTGGGGCTTCGGGGGGTGTCGAGTTTGGGGTTTAGGGTGCAGTGTTTGGGGTTTACGGCTTCGAGTGTCGGGTTTTGGGTTTAGGGTTTATGCTTACTAGGCGGGGTGTTGTATGGATTGTTGTAATGATAGGGGGTGTCATGGTTTTCATGGTTGCGCACGGACTTTCTCAGGGCCGATAAAGTGTTCGGGTTCATAAAGGGATGTTTTTTAGCATTGTAGGGGGCATGTAGGTTTGTCATACGGACTGCTGTAATAATGGTTGTGTAGGGTGCAAAAACGCTGCATGGATTTTGCGAGGTCGTCGCCTTAGTGGCGGGTTATTGCGGGCTGTCCATCAAACGCTGGACACACCGTCTATTACCTACATTTTGTGGAGGATACTGGGCTTTTCCAGCCGATGGTCCCTTTCCGGATGCTCTAAATGTACACTACTCTTATCACACGTTCACGGAGAGAAGAACATGGATTGCTATCCGAAGTTTGACTGCTTAGGTTTGATAGGGAAACAGCTTCGAGCTATAAGCCCGAAACACTGTTAAACTACATCACATGAATGCTCGGTTGAGGGCTGCGGCAGGGTGCATCTTGAATAAGCCTCCTGGGTTGGATGACACTAGAAAAAAGTAAAGAACTCTAGACCCTAAACCCTGAAGCCGTAAACGCCCTAAACCTGAAACCCTAAACTCCAACCCTGAACGTAATTAAACCCTAACCCGCAACCCTAAACCCTAATAGAACCCTAAACCCCTAAACCAGGAACCCCTTATGATTCAGAAGGAAGAGCCAG